CAATAAAATGCATGCACGTATTATAAGATTATATTTAACAAATTTGGATTTTTGTCGACTTAGATAAACCGAAATGTTTTGTATCATGAATACATGAATTTGATTAAAAAAGTGTGGATACAGAAAATTCGAGATAAGTCGAATGGGTACCCTCATATTAGCGGGATTATAATAATTAAAATGTTTAGCCTGAAATATATGCAGGAAATATTGTCACATTTTATATAATAATTATTTCAATATAAAATAATAGAAAATAATTCTTTAAAATCCCACTATTATTGGGTTCGGCTCATCTCGAACAGTTGGTACCCGAGACACTTTGTATCCACACATATAAGAGATTACAGTAATACGTGTATTTTATTATTATTAAATATATTCCTTCGTAACTACTATTCAACAAGGAAATCATTCTATCCATTCATTTTCAATAAAAGATTACAATTTTTAGTAATGGCAGAACATATATTTTCTTGCATACAAATTTTAATATAATGTTAAAGATGCGATAAAAATGGTAATTGTAATTGACACGCTGCTAAAATTATCACATAAACGGTCAGGAAAATTCGAGATTCACACACCTGTAACAAAATCTCATAACAAGACCGTCGCTGTTTGACGGATTGCTTAACTTTTCTTTGCGAATAGATTTTATGAATTTGACGTAGAAACGGAATGTATTAAATTCGCTCCCTACTATGAAGATTTTTCTTTTTTGTATCGGATATTAACCAGCGCGCATCACAAGATAAATATATTAAATTTTATTAGATTTTATACTTAATAAATTTTATAATAAGTCAAGAGTTATAAAAACAAATACGATTCAATTACTGCTAATGTTTAATTAATTTCATTTATAAGTATTTTCTAGAAACTATACATTTAATAAAATTATGTGTTCTTATACGTATTTTCGACGTTTTCGTATAATCCCACTTTATTATATTATATAATGTAATTTTTTAATTATGTTCTCTCTTAATATGATTTTTCATGTATTTTGAACAGCATTTATATTGTATATATTATCTATGATTGTAAATATTATTATTATTATATATTGTCACTGTTATTGTAATATACACATAATTATTGTACATATTATAATTATTATATTATTAAATTGAATAAAGAATTATATCCAAAAATAGCATTAAATATTATATTTAAAATGTATATAAAAAATAAAAAAAAATAAAAAATATATATAAAAATATAAAACAACAAATATACTTATAAGTAAAAACAGGCTGTTGTTACATTTACGATGGTCCGTTTTTTACGAGTAAGTATAATTTATAAAGAAAAGAGGACCGCCGATAAAATCGACGGGGGTGGTGGAGGGCCTCTCTAGCTCGTTTTTGCTAAATAAAACCTTAAACTGTCACACAATATATGATTGGAAAAGTTTTAAATGTATTCAAGATCTCTATGTACTAATTACTAATAACTATACATATATTTAGTAAGAACGGGCTAAGTTAACATAAAAAAAACAACTTCCTAATTATTCAACTTCCATTTTCATACAGACACGTATCAACAGACAAAATTCGTGAAATTAATTTGTTTGAATATTTGATTTCAAGTTTCTTAAAAGTCAGCAATTTTGATTACTCTATTAGAAGATATACAAAATTCAAAAATTTATTTTTGAGAACTCATTAATAAACTTTGTATTAGTATTTCTCTGATTTCTCATACATATACGTTTCTTTTCAAGAATAGATAATCTGAGAATCATTCTGTTCTGCAGCCATTGAAAAGCATTGTC